AAGACGGTTTTATCGGCGGGAAAGGTGATGGCGACTGTTTTTTGGGACAGTCATGGAATTGTGTTGATCGTCTATCTTGAAAAAGGTAAAACAATAACAGGGACGTAGTATTCATCATTGCTTGACAAGCTGAAGGCAGAAATTGAGAAAAAACGACCGCATTTGAAAAAGAAGAAAGTACTGTTCCATCAAGATAACGCACCGTCTCACACTTTGGCGGTCGCTATGACAAAAATTTACGAATTGCGGTTCGAATTAATTAATCATCCACCGTATTCACCAGATCTGGCCCCCAGCGACTTTTTTCTGTTTCCTAGGCTCAAAGTTTGGCTCAGAGGACAGAAATTTTCATCGAACGAGGAGGTCATCGCATCTGTAGACGCCTATTTTGCAAAGCAAAACGCTCAGTATTATTTGAATGGATTAAAGGGGTGGGAGCATCGCTGGAAAAAATGTATCGACTTAAAAGGAGACTATGTGGAAAAATAAAATTGAATTTGTCCGAAAAATTACTTGTTTCTATGTTAGGCTCAAAACTTTTCAGACGACCCTCGTATCTATAATATATAGTGGAATGTTAAAATTTAATTTAGAAATCACATCATTTTCCAGACTAATTTTAAGACTTAAATTATGTTGTAATATATTCGTATCACGTTTAATTATATTAATACTGAAGAAGGTCTGATTCAAGACCGAAACGTTTATTTATTGTACTATATCAAATATAATAATTTTAAGCCATCGATATCAGGCGTTCGTGGTTATATGCCTTTTTAATTACATTATTTTATATTCGTACCACGTATCTAACCTATATGGCTTCTTTCAAATTTACGATAATATCCTCGATCGGCATTACTTTAGGATGTAAAATTCCTTTTTTAATGTAATTAATGTAGTCGATCGTTTCTGTTGCGTCTCTCAGTAGATCGTCTGTTAATGCGGTCAGAAGAGTAAAGTGTTCATCTAGATCTTGTCTTCGACTAAACGAGTATCCTTGTTCTTTAAATTTATCTATGTAGAATGTTAGCGTATATATATTTTGGTTTTCTTGCAGTGTTTGCTCTAGGTTATCTATGTGCGCTATGGTTGAATTTATTACTTTCAATTGATTTTTAACCGCATGTTTAGCTACAGTATTTTCATCGTGTACTATGATTAACTGCTCCTTAATAATTTTGTCATCATCGGCATCCATAGTGCCAAATAATGACTTCGCGATTGAGCCTATTGCGTCTATTAAGCCTCTTTTTTTATTAGATGCTATTTTATACACAGTTTTTATTTTTTCTACTAACTGTTGTGTTTTATTATGCTCTTTTTCGAGCACTGTATATAAATTTTCGCAAGATCCTTTACCTGCTAATAATATCTGGCATAATTGCTTCGTCCGCAATACGTCTTCTTGTAATTGATTTGCTCTCTTCGCCAGTGATGTGGTATCCGTTTTTATCACTAGTTTCCAGTATCCTTCAATGGGTAACAGTTTCCCGATTTCTTCGAAATAAATCCTAGGATTGTGGTTGAACCTTTCAATTTTGTAAGGCGGGTTGTTGACCTGTCCGTCAGCCGCATGGATCCACGATATGATTCTGCAATTAATTGTTGCTATTTATTTGTTTCATCCGTTTTATTTTTTCCTCGTGTTTAACTTCTCTTCAGTTTATCATACCTCTTTATTTATCAAGTGACAGTTCTCGCTCTCTCACGTAACTTTATCTATAAAGTTTCGTATTAATATGCTTAGCATTTCATTTCTCTTCTTCTGAGCCTTGTTAGGCTTTTATTCCTGCTAAGTCTTTTAGTTGTTCACGAGTTCTTTTCGCGCGACTACTTTCATTATGCGTTTAAACGTAGCTCCCTTTTTCGCGGAGGTATCCGACGATGAGGATCAGGAGTGTCCTTTCGTCGCGGATCCTGCTCCCTACTTTCCAATAGGGGAGGAGAAAAGTGATGTTGGTGTCGGAGTGACCGACTCTGACATCGAGGAGGAAATTCCTGATGACCTGGTTGAAGTCATCTACATCTCCGATGAGGAGGAGGATGTACAAGATGAAGAGGGTGATGGTGAGTTCCTCGAACTTGTCGAGGACCTCAAAGAGGATTTGGAGGAAGAAGAAATTATCTTCTTGGCTCAACTTATGCCGCCTCCCGACTCAGATTCGGAGGGTGATGAACTAGGGGAACATGGGGCAAAGTGGGCTGCCTATGGGAAAACTTATGAAACCAAATGATATTGCATAAAAAAAGTTATGGTAACGTATCAAAACCCTAATTCGGTTCCTAAACTAACATATTCAACTGATTCCTTAAATAAAAATATATGTTTTATAATCCTAATTTTATTTTTACGAAAAAGTATTATTTTGAGAAATTTGAAAATTACTGGGCAAAGTGGGATGTGTTGTTTAAATGACTTCTGGAAAGGTTTTAATGATAATACTGCATAATGGCATTAAGGAAAAGTACTTTTTTATTGTCAGAACAGAAATATAATACAAAATTATAATTTTTAATAAACTTCATTCAATGTAACATTATAGCTTGCGCGAGGATTTGCGGCGTTTTTCTTTTGCCTGATGCTCCAATTTAGATTCTCTTTGCAGTTTCTTCTCTTGTTTCGCTTTTTTTGAATCTTCAGTTTCCTGAAGAGACTGTCTATATGGAGATAACGTCAGGATTGCTGTGACACTTCTTTTTCGGGACGCTCTTGGAGCTGACTGTGCTTGCACTTTCGGAATTGGCATAATCTCTTGTAGGGTTTTTTCGCCAAATGACGAGCTTGTCGATGGGCCAGGTACGGGTGTTGGCAATTCTTCATCATTATTGGACGTTGAAGATTCCAAGATTTCGATGTCCGTGGTTGTCGAAGGCATAAAGTCAATGTCGGTAAAAATATTCGGATCTAGGGGTCAAATGCCGGTTTTTTTAAATCCATTCAAAGCCGTAGACGTAGTTGCAGCTCGAATAAATGCTGTACCGAAAAGGGGAGCAATTTGGCGAATAGTTACGACTTTTCCAGGATTAATGCGTAAAAATTTTCGAGTTTCATCAGCGTAGTATGTCATTAACGGCTTCATAAAAGAAACATCTCCAGGCTGAAGCTTGTGTGAGCAATGTGGTGGAAAGCACAAAAGTATGACTCCGTTTTCTCGTGCTAAATCAATTAATTCCAGGTTCTTTGTGTGAGTGGAGTGACCATCAAACAGAAGAAGCACTTTGCGACTATGTGAAGCGCCGGAGAATGCGATAAATTTTTTAAACCAAACTACGAACAATTCTTTGGTCATCCACCCGTTTTCATGAGAAACTGCAAATGCTGATGGAGGGAGACCAATCTCAAATTCGTTCTGCATTCTAACTCTTGGAAATATCAACATTGGAGGAACAAAAACAGCAGCTGTTGAAAAGCAAATTTCAGCAGTTGCCGTCTGCCCTCTTTCAGCAGACGTTATTGCACCGACTTGACGACGGCCTTTCTTTGCAATAATCTTGGATTGGGCTTTAGGATTTACTGTAAATCCCGTTTCGTCGCAATAATAAATGCGATCTGGGGTGATTTCTTTGTTCGTTATAGTCTCCTCTAGTAGTTTAAAAAAATTGGCAACGACGACTTTATTAAACCCCATGGCACGCGCGGCCGATGTCGCTTCAGGAGTTCTTAAACTCAGTGACGGGTTTCTTTTCATGAATCCATAAGCCCAGTCTAAACCAGCTGCCGTGTCCTTGAAAGGATGGTCAATGTTATTTTTCTCCGCTAGTTGGAAAGCAATTTCTCGAAGATCGAAAATTGTCATGCCAAAGAGCTTGGCCTCCATTGCAGTCAAATATGAAACTATGTCAGCTTCTTGTTCCATTGTAAATACTGTTCTGAAACGTCCCAAATGCTTTTCAACAACAAAATTCTCATCCCTTTGTTTTTTTTGTACATAACGTTGTAAAGTTGATGAAGGGATTTTATAATTCACTGCTGCACTTGCAATGTACATTTCGTTATTAATAACGACTGAAATGGCCTGAATCATTGATTCTGTGGACCAATTTTGATGCTCCGTCCTCCTTTTATACGTGCGAACCATTTTCTAATGAAGAAATAGACATAAAGTTATGAAAAAGTTACCTCTGTGAAGATGAATCAAAACGGAAAGGCATCCCACTTTGCCCCGCCAACTTTGCCCCAAACGCAGATTAAATAAAATATTATACGAAAAATAACCCTTAACGCCAAATGAAATAACTAAAAAACGAAAAAAGAGGGTAAATGTAAGCCTACAAACCAATGCAATTCAAATTTCAATTACATTTAATTTATTGGTACTTACAGTCAATAGAAATATACGTAATGTTAGAGTTTCTCACAAATGTAGGATACCTTGTATGAAACCTTTCCGAAGAATGCGCGGAAATTGGGAAACACTTCAAAATTTATACTAGGTCAACTCATTTGTCAACAAATAATGTAAATAAACATATAGGAACTGCTCTTATAAAACGAAACGGCAAAATCTCACTTTGCCCCGTATCCCACTTTGCCCCATGTTCCCCTATTAGGTGTACAACTTTGCTTCTGCCGTTTTTTTCCGAAATTCGAGGCTTTATTGTAAAAAACTGGTTATACATTTATGACTCAAAGTATTGTCCATCGCTGGTCACTACTTTCTCCCATTTTTCGGGCAGCGTACGAATCCCGCGTCGAAAAAACTGGTCATCTTTTGAGGCGATCCATGAATCGATCCAATTTTTTACTTCTTCATAAGACCGGAAGTGCTACTCAGCCAGGCCGTGTGCCATTGATTGAAACAAGAGATCGCCAGAGGGAGCAACGTCTGGAGAATACGGCGGGTAGGGTAGAACTTCCCTTTTTAACGTTTCCAAGTATGTCTTGACCACTTTCGCAACATGGGGTCGAGCATTGTCATGCTGCAAAATCATTTTATCGTGTCTCTCATTGTATTGCGGCCGTTTGTCTTTCAATGCTCGGCTCAAACGCATCAATACTGATCGTCTGTGATTGTGTTTCAGTCGGTTCTAACAGCTCATAATACACTACGCCGAGCTGGTCCCACCAAATACGGAGCATAACTTTGGAGCCGTGAATATTCGGTTTGGCCGTCGACGTGGAAGCATGGCCGGAAACTCTCCATGATTTTCTGCGCTTGGGGTTATCGTAATGAATCCATTTTTCGTCCCCAGTCACAATGCAGAAATCCCTTCCGTCGTCTTTGCCTTTCAAGCAGCTGTTCACAAGCAAATAAACGCCGTTCCACATCTCTCGGCTTCAATCGTACGGCACGCAATTTCCTTGCTTCTGAATCATTCCCATGGCTTTGAGGCGTTTTGAAATGGCTTGTTGAGTCATTCCCAATAATCGTGCCAATTCTTCTTGATTTTGACACGAGTCTTGATCAAGTAATGCCTCTAATTCTGCATCTTCGAAAACCTTCTTTCTTCCATCGCTATGCCGGTCTTCGACGTCAAAATCACCGTTCTTAAAGCGTTGAAACCACTCATGACACGTTCTTGCACTAATAGCGGCCTCACCATGAGTATTTGAGAGCATTCGATGAGTCTCAGCCGCAGATTTCTTCATATTGAAGCAGAAAATTAAAACCTCTCGCAAATGACGAAAATTTGGCTCGTAAACTGACATTTTCAATCGAGAATAACTTTATGATGCAGACATAAATCGACTAATGTTTCTATGGGGTTATGTTGACAGGTGTCCAAGTTTATTGTATGACGTCTATGATCTATTTATTTTGACCACCACTTACCGCTAAAGCCATCTATAGGAAAATGGTGGAAGTAAAGTTGTAGGGGAGAGTGGTGTCGGTTGAAACAGAGGGTCAATTGTAACATTGACCGCAATAGCTGTATCTATTGACGAAAGGCTGAACTGCATGCACGGTTGCATACCGTTAATAGACATAAGTCATTGACGAAAAATTGAGTGGCCAAGTGCAAACGTAGCAGCACCTATTTTTGTTAAATCAAGGTTAGATTGTAAACTTTGTTACCCGCCACTATTTTAGTGCAACTCGTTCCACAACAATTTGTAATACGACGATACTGTGTGATATGAATATCAAGCTTTGTAGTAAGGTATATATCAATTCAATTTATTGTTTACATGTAAGTTTAATGGGTATAAAATCGAAACAAGCGGCGGTGGTTGCAAAAGTAACAATCGCAGTAGTGTCGATTGTAACATGAGTAATTATTTAGAAGTCGTTCCTCATCATCAATTTCAATGAAATTATGCTCACATTCGAAGCGTTTTTGCATGAAACGAAAGAATCTGGCAGTAAAATGTTGTGCTCAGTCCCACGAAGTGAGATATTAATCATTAAAGTTAACTGTTGTTAGGTTA